CTTTTAAAGGTAATAATAAAAAAGCTCTCAAATACAGCTCTTTTTATAAGATATCTTTTGAAAAACTCGAAACAGTTAAGAAGTATATTACTGATAATCTTTATAAAGGCTTTATTAAACCTAATCAAGCTCCATTTACAGCTTTTATCCTCTTTATAAGAAAAGCAAATGAAAGTCTTTGACTCTGTATCGATTTTCGTGTATTGAATGCTTTTATCCAAAAGGATTGATATCCTTTTTCTTTGATTAACAAAATCCTTAGCCGCCTTATTGATACTAAGATTTTCATTAAACTCAATATCCATCAAGCATTCCATCAAATTAGAATGGACCCTCAATCCGAAGAATATACGACTTTCCATACACGCTATAAAGCCTACAAGTGCCGTGTTCTTCCTTTTAGCCTAACCAATAGTCCTACTACCTATCAACGTTATATGAATAACATTCTCTTCGATTACCTCGATAACTTTTGTATAGTTTATTTAAACAATATCTTGATTTACTCTTCAGATCCTTTAGAATATTAGATTTATATGAAAAAGGTCTTATAATGCTTAAGAGATATTGATCTTCAAGTCAATCTAAAGAAAAGCGAATTTAGTATCATTTGTATTAAATACCTTGGCTTTATAATCTCCATAAAAAGAGTTGAAGTAGATCCTGAGAAAGTTGCTGTTATATGCAATTGGGTATATCCAACTATAATTAAAGGAATCCAGTCCTTTTTAGGATTTTATAATTTCTATTGCCGATTTATATGCAACTTTGGTATATTAACCAAACCTTTAATCAATCTAACCAAAAATAACGTCCCCTTCCGATTCGATAACAATTGTATACACACTTTTAATACTCTTAAGGACTCTCTTATCTTCTCTCTTGTTTTATAGCACTATCGATAAGACCTTGAATGTATACTGGAAATAGATATCTCAAATGGAGTAGTGGTAAGTGTTTTTTTGCAAAAGTATGGTGAAGACTAGCTATTTATAGGATTCTATTCGAAAACTATAATTTTTGCTGAATTTAATTATAAAGTTTATAATAAAAAGATGCTCTTTATTGTAAAGTCCTTTGGATATTAATATACTGAACTCACTAGTATATTATACCAGATTTGTGTCTATACCAACCACAAAGCACTAATCTATTTTATGACTACAAAAGCCTTAAATTCCCGGCAAACACAATGAGCCGAACTCCTGACCGATTACAATTTTGTAATATACTATTGTCTAGAAAAAGACAATCTATTAGTCAATACTCTTACTCGCCGTATCGACAAACTCAATAACCAAAATCAAAAGAAAAAGTTGTAATACTGTTAGCAACTTCTGAAAAACAATCAAATCGATTCTCTTATCCTAGCTCACAAGCTTCAACCAGATCCTGCCAAAAAAGCTTTTATCCAAATCCTAGATTTAACTCCGATTTTCCCAGCTCTATGAATTATCAATCGTATTCTATTCACTAATTGCTATATTCCTTTTTTAGAAGCCTTATAAAAACAAACGCAGAAAAACGATAATCACTTTAGCCTCAAAGATGGACTACTATTATATAAAGACAAACTAGTAGTTCTTGATACAAATAACCTTTGCATTCTCTTAATCCGAGAAGCCTATGATAATATCTTTACCGTATATCCAGGCATCCGAAAAACCCTGAAATTATTAACCAATTGTTATTACTGGCGAGGAATCTCTCAAATAATAACTCAATATTGTTGAAATTGCAATACTTGTTGTAGAATAAATGTTCCCCGAGATAAAACCCCTGGCTTGCTATATCCATTACCAATACCAAGTCAACTCTGGGAATATATTATTATAAATTATTATAGCTTCAACAAAAACAAATATAAATATGACAATGTATTTGTTATTATCAATCAATTTAGCAAACAAGCTATTTTCATCCCTTGCAAAAAAACGATTGAATTAATTATAGCAGCTAAATTATATATTTATTATATTTATCGCTATTTCGGTTTTCCTTTTTCTATAATATCTGATCGTGGATCCTAATTCATATCAGTTTTTGGAAGAATTTCAAAAGATTCTAGATACTAATATTAGCTATTCAACTACAGATTACCCTCAAACTGATGAACAAATTAAGGATCTATAATCAATACCTTCAAAGAGGACTCCGATTCTTTGTTTTCTATTATTAAGATAATTGGTCAGAGCTCTTACCAATAATGAATTACGCATAGCTTATCTTACCTTACAATTCTCTTAATAGTATTTCTCTATTTAAAGTCGTACACAACTATCCCCCACAAACCTTTTGGGATTGGAAGTTTTATAATACCGAAACTAAAGACAAGCTCAGTATAAACGAAGCCCGCATTATAGCTCAACAACATTACAATACATAAAAAACTCACCATAAAACATCTTACAAACACTCAAGAAAGAGTCCAGCTCAAAACTAATGCGTATCAACAATCTGTCGATTTCAAAGTAGGCGATTTTATGTGACTTGATATGCGATACTACTGAACCGAGCACCCTTCAAGAAAGCTAGATTTTCCAATAAACAGCAAGTTCCTTATTATCGAAAAAGGTAGGGCATTCCTTCAAGCTAGCGCTACCAGATACAATGAAAATTTTTGATACATTCCCAGCTGAAAAGCTACGAAAAGCTGCGAATGACCCTTTTCCTGGTCAAGTGAACGATCCTGACCCTCCAATCAACATTACTAATGAAGAAGAATGGAAGAATCGAACAAATCATAGCTTCGAAGAATACTCGTAATAATATTTACTACCAAATACAATAGCGTATTACAATATTGACCTTATCTGATACACTACTGATAAACTTCAAATACTCTTTTCACAAACTCAAAGAGTATCACTAGCCAATCAAGACCTCTCCAGCCCGCCTAAGGCATTATCTTCCAATAAACTGAAATACTACAAAGGATGGTAATGATGAATATATGATAATATTATTGGAGATAAAAAAAAATGAATAAATGCTCGAGGGCAGCTTTTTCAGACAAAGAGGTAATATAACGAGTTCGTCCCTTTCAGGTTCCTTTCCTCAGTCCACTTAGCTTCTAGACACCGTAGCCTAGCATGTAACTCATTAGTATATATAGTCCGAGCCCTTACAGTTCTCTTTTATCTTTTCTTCTTCCTTCTTTAGTTTTAGATTCTAAGTAGAATTGAATCCTTTTATGACAGTCCTTCACAATAGCTATAGGATTTTCGGAATATAGTGCTTTAAAGGTCTAGATTTGAATTATTTCAATCTATTTGTAAAAAAGGTTTCAAATATTCAAAAAGTGTATACCTAAAAAGCTTTAAGAATAAAGGTGAAAGAATAATATTGAAAAATTAAATATTTAGAAACATGTGTTTGTGAATTAATGTATTACGTATTGCGTAATTCAACTAATTATACTACTTATTTCTCATGGAATATAGTTATTCCGAATACGAAAATATTATAAAACAATATAAACAATACATTTTTAGGAATAATAATAATAATAATAATAATAAGTATTATATTTATAATATTGAATTTCTTCTAAGCTTCAAAGAATCAAAAAGATATTAGTAATAACTAAATCTAATAAAAGAAACTACAGAAAAAGCAAAAGAATATTTGCAAAAGCGAAAAGCTAGAAATATATATAATCGAAAGGCAAGAATGATATCTAAAGAGTTAGAAGTCAAAAAGAGAAAGATAGGAAAAAGTATCAGATTTTCTATACTTTGAAAGTGCTTTGCAAAACTTCTGATTTTTTAAAGGCATTGAAGAATAGATAAGATGAAATGGTTGTACAAACTCGATTGAATATCGAAATGCGATAATCCCAGTATATGATTCAAATGAAAATCTGATTTTAATTAACTTTATTTAGAAAAGTGTTGAAAGCAAAAAACCTTATTCAAAACAACGATAACCCTATATCAGAGTCTGAATCAGATAATTCCGAAACAGATTTTGAGGGTTGGAAAGTTGATATTGATGAGAAAAGGAAGAGGAAGAGGAGGAATCTGATAATAAAGAAAAGAACAATGAAGTTAGAGAGCTTACCAAGATTAATTTGAAAGATTGAATATCAATCAAAAATTAAAATAAGTATGAAGGTATAATATTTATTGGTTTTATAAAATATTACTATATAAGTTTAGGCAATTGGATTTTCTGGGATTTTGATTTGGATTAGAACTGGAAAGCTAGTGTAGAGTAGTTTATAACTAATTTAAAAAATCTAAATAAAAACATTAATAAAGAATCTTCGGATTTTTTATGGGTAAAAAATTTGTCTGAATAGGTTTATTTTGATTTTTTCTTATAGCCATTTCTTTTTAGTTATTTCTTACTTACTTCCCTCACTTATTATTATATTAAATTATTAATATATTAATAGAGTATATTTGTATTCTAATAAACTCCCTTATAAAATATTTAGTTGTTGATAATATACTGTTTAGAGAAATCTTGCTTCTTAGAGCTCTAATATTTTGAAGCTAAAGAGAGAGAGTGATATCAAGCTTTCTGGATCTAAAGAATGGTAGACTTCTTGTGACGATCCTGTCATATTAGTGGATCGGCTAGGTCCTCACGTGATCTACAATCCTGTATATTACCACTTCCTTCCAAAAAGCTCTTCTAGCTCTTCACCTTAGTATTCCTAAATGATACAATCGTCACATTATACTAAGGTCATATAAATTTTTTAAGCTCTTGATCGCTCCTGCAAAGCTTCCTATCGCTAGCCCGCTCGCCGAATGTCTACTGCCTTCCATGCCCGCTTCCCCAATACAACCATTCGTATAACCTTCGATCAAGACCTCTCCCTAGCTCCGCTCCCGCAGACTTCACCCACCGATGAGCTAATACCTCACTATCATATCATTTAGAATCTCCTTGCTCTATCGACAATAGATCCGAAAATCCTGAATCTAACACGCAAACTACAGGAACTGATCGATTCAAAACATCAATACACTTGCACAATCGATACCGCAATGAAGCAACTTATTCAGTTGATCTGCCAAGCCAATCCGCATTCCACCAACACTTTTGCTGCTTTATCAGCACCACCAACAAGAAACGCATTTCAAACAGATCTCCTTTCTTTCACTCATTTTATCTTTCAACAACTTTCAAAACCTCCTCCTATTGATTTCGAAGCCTCTCTTGCAAAAGCGATGAAACTGCAAAATGTGTACTTCCGCAAAGCGATCAACGACGCTACGAATCATATTATAGGCAATATTGGAACTAGTATTGGAATTATGGATCAGATATTAGCGGTAATAGAGAATATAGATCATAATATAATTAGATTGGAGAACTGTATTTAGAATACTATTAGTATGCTTGAGGGCGAGCTTTTCAGAAGGGGGGGGTAGTATAACGATCCTGTCATATTAATGGATCGGCTAGATCCTCACGTGATCCACAATCCTGTATATTACCACTTCCTTCCGAAGAGCTCTTCTAGCTCTTCACCTTAGTATTCTAAATGATGCAATCGTCACACTTCTAATAAGAGCTATAATCCAAAAAGATATGGATTTTGGATTCTTAAAGATAGAATGAAATATAAGCGAACTTGGAATCTACTTCATTATATAAAATAGAAAGAAGATCTCTCTCAACTTTTTAAAGAATTCGAAAAAACGCTAGAAGCTATAACAAAAGATAATGGTAAATAGAGAAACCCTGATGATTACTTTCTATTCTAATTATATATATTTATCAAATTCTATTTCAATATAATATTGCTTTTCTTTCTCTTGTGTTTTTCGAATTCTTTTTATTTTATAATAATCTCTTCATATAGCCTCTACAATTCCTTATTGAAAGTAGTTTATAGATTATAATGAAATAGAGTCTAATTTATTACTACTTGAATTTATTATTATATTATCTATAATGTTTAGAATATGATCGATAATATAATCAAATTGAATTTCAAATAGATCTTCTTCGAAGCTATTTTATCAAATAAAGTTATATAGAGTGTATAAAGCATAAACTATATATATTTGAATTGTATATGGGTATTTTTATTGTTATATTAGAAATGGAAAGCGTATTTTGAGTATTCCAAAAATTCTCTTAATCTTATTTGTAAAAAAGAATATTGAAGGTTGAAAAGCTCTTTTGATATTTTGAATATCTTATTGGATTCCAATTACTCTTATAAATGATATCTTACCCCTTAAATAAAATAAGAATCTATTTAGTATTCATATATTCTATATCACCTAAATAATAATAATCTTCTGAAATTCATAAACCTTTTGAAATCAAAATATCTGAAAGCACTTTTTGATTATTCATAGAATATTCTCAATCGACTAATATATAATAGAATTGTAAATTGAAAGTAACTATTATAAGAATATTCTGTATAGTATACCTTTTCGATTAAAATAAGCAGATTAATCTTCGAAAGATATTATTACTGAAATAAAGGTGCTATTAAAAGCTTTTAAATAATTCACAAAATATATACAATATTTTTTCATCTTCTATTATTCGAGAAAAAGCGAATTGTATAAGTGGATCTGATAGCTTTATTATTAATAAATATAATATTATTATAGTATTTAAAACTTAATAAAATCATTTTAAAGCATATTAGAATAAATTAATAAGTAGATTTATATAAAGTGTTTTTCATATTTATAGATTGTTTTTTTAGAATAAAAAAAGGCTTTAGTTATATTATATATAGTTCTATACTAGCTTATGATATAGAGAAATATGTATAGCTTTTGATTAATTAAAGTATATTGAGAGTATTATAACTTTGTTTTTTTGTGATAAAATTCGATTAAAAGTTGAAAAGTGTATAGAGGTATATGCAATTATTCTTAATAATATTAAGGATATTTAGAATCAAAAAGAGATTGTATTTTAAATTCATTAGGAGTATTAGTTCTTTTTTTCGAAATTGGAGTATAATAAAAAGAGCTAATAATAGTAGCTAAATTATAAATCAAAATAGAAATAAACTATTCAAAATTATTAACCTCATTATTGCTTATTATAAATAAGAAAAAGACAGTTTTACAATTTAAATCATTAATAGAATCTAAAGTTATAATAAAAAGAATATTGAAGAATCTACTTTTAAACTAAACTATATATATTCTAGTATATAAGAAATAGAAATATAAAGTAATCTAAATCGAAATCAGAGATAATTTAAAGAAAAATAAAGATACTTTATAAATTTAGGTATTTGAAGTATTAATATTATTATAATACTATATGGATATAGGATAAAAGGCTTATAAGAGTCTATAAAAACGCGGATTATTATCAGATTGAAAACGAGGATTGCTTTTTCTAATTTTTGTTTTCAATTCGCACCTTTATTTTCCTATATAAATTTAATAAAAAACGTAAATTATTTAATATCATTTTAAATGATTTATTTTCTTTTCATTTCGAAATATATTAAATTCGTTAAAATGCAGATTATTTAATGGAATCCGCGATTTGATATTTAAATATAAATTCAAAATCTGTTTTCAAAAAGAGCGGAATATTCAGCGGATCCAGTGCGGATTTGTATATCCAAACTAGCTCTAAGAATATGTTTGTGAGTATTGAGATATATTAGGTTATCTAGAAACTCGATGATTCAAATTTGAAATAACAAAACAATATCAAGATGTCGATGGATGAAGAGGTATCTGAGGTATGTTATGCAGGTACTTCCGAAGCGATCTTTAGGGGCTTGGCATACACCTGCGTATAATCTTTATATCACCACTCAACCTCGTGACCAACGTCGATGTTATAACTTCGACGTGTTATAGCTACCTATACACACCACTACAGTAGTTCCAGAAATCGAATATTATGCACTCTGTTGATATCACTATGGGGATGGTGAAGTAATATAGTACTAATAATTCATACTATTGTAATATTACTCGAGGTTCTAAAAGCTAAAGATTACAAATATATATACTATAGTGCGGGGGCATTAGTGTATACACTAGCACAGTTAGTTATATAATCCCTATCCCAATACTAGCAACTTTCTAAAGTTGTTGTATTATATCTTTTCTAGCTAATATCCCTTTCTCAGTATAACCATCTATACCATTAATCTCTTTCAACCCATTCCGTGACCTTAATCTTTATGGTATTATTGTTAATCAAGTTCTTTAAGACTTGATACGGTTTAGATTTAGTTATTGTATTTGTTAGGTTAGATTCTCTATTAATCTACTTGATCTCTATAATCTCCCGTTTCTCGTATACCTTTCGAATTATTATTATATTGATTATTAATCTCTTTTCAGTAATTATATCAAGCTTTGTGAAACAGTTGTATAATAATCTCGAGTTGATATATATAACTAATAGTATCTTGTGATTTGAGAAAATCTTGTTAAATATGCTTTTGATTGTTATACTAATATCAAAGCCCAAAACTATATTATAGAGCTCTAATACTAATACACTCCTAGTAATTCTCTTATACTTAATTAATAACCAATGAATAATATTAGCCCTATCGAATTTATCTATTAAAATAATAATATATCTAATCTGAAAGAACAAATCTTTATTATTAGCAAAGAATGTATTTGTGAATATAACCAATTTGAGAGAGTCTATATCAAGTAGAACAAATTGTAATCCTTTCTTTGAGTTGTCAATTTGTTATTGAATATATTTATTGAGAATATTAATATTTTCTTTTTTTGGGTTAACTGTTTGTGCCGCATATAACAAGTCAAAGGCTGCCTTTGATTGATACATAGTTGCTATGTATATTCCTCGAATATGTTGTGCAATATATTAGTCTTTTGCTATCACCGACTTTCTAAGCTTGCCGTGTATGTTTTGCATATCAAATAGTTCTGAATTGATTAAACAAAGGTTTTTGTATTGTTTTTTCTAATTGAAATAAATTATACTATCATTTTACTAAGTAATTAGATTACCATTAAACTTGAGTGATATATTTGATATAAGTGTTTTATATTCTTTTACTATGAATTTAGTATTTCTGAGTTTAACTTGCTTATAATCTGCAAATACTTTATTAGCTACGATAAGTGTATCATTTGTTTGTAATCTGATAATGTCGAATACTGTGTCGTTTTTAGTTATATGTAACAAATATGGATTGTAGGTTGATTATATCATCTTGAGAGTATTGGTATGATGCTTGTGGTAGGTACTAAACCAGTAATTGCCTATTTCCGGGATACTATATAATGATCGTATAACTTGTAGGATAAAGCTCTCTGAAATGTTTATTTCTAATGATGATCGAGTATAAAACTTTCGAACTAAGTTCGATATCGACTGTGTATATGCTTATATAATATCGCGAATACTTATGGTTATCTCGTTTTTGGATAGCATTGTTATTACTACCAGCATAATATATTGGCTGACACATTGTATTATTAATAATTATATTAAAACAGTACCTTTTCCTTAATCTTTCTATATTTGTATAATCAATTGAAACTTAGAAAATACTTTATTAATTCCTTTATTCTTAATTTTATTAATAAAATGAGAATTAAAAATCCTTGTATTTATAGGAATATCCATAATCTTTATAAATTGGAAAACACTGTTTTCTATAAATCTGTTAACCTCCTTTTGTTTTGATTTTACAAAAATTATTGATGGTAAGATATTAGTAGATATTATATAGTATTTAATGTATTGTATATTGTTAAACTTGTTTTCCTTTGATAAAAAAATCAATAAATCCGGTAAGTGTTCTATAGATTCGATATTTTCTCCTTTCACAAAAAGTATTAATTGTATTGGAATTACTACTTAAGGGATCCATTGTTACTAAAGTTAGGGATTCCTAAATATATCCAAGAGGATCTCCTCTAGATTCCTATTCCTGGTAGTAGCTGATAAGGGGGTAGATATAACTTTACTAGATTTTGGCAAAGTTGTTCTACTTACACTAGATACAGTAAGTTGCCCTTACTACATTAATTCAGTTTGTACAGGTGATATTTGTACTGATTCGATAAGTAATTAGAATTGATCCTAAAACCGATCCTGTACATCCTCTACATAAGGTTTAACCTGAATAATGCGGAATTCCGTTGATCCGCTTAATAATCGTATTATGCATATCTTATCTTTATATCCAATAAATGATATAGTCCTATTCATTCTTTATATTCTCTTTATACCTAAATCTTCGAATTGATAAATAAGTTGTATAAAGCCATTATAGACAATCCATTTTGCTAACTCAAAGTGTCAGATACTTATCATATTGCTTGTAGTTTATAAATCTCATTCATTGCTTTTTTAATCACTGATTGCCATTATAGAACTGTAGGTG